AATAGGACCTTTAGGAGACTGTGATGCTGCCAAACTGTGAGAGGCACTACCAGAAAATTTCACTGGCATTTTTTTCATTAAACTTTATTGTTTAAAGTATTACATAGGTCCTCTTTTTCCCCCAACTAACTTCTTTTTAAAAAATATATTTTATTGATTTTGTACAGAGAGGAAGGGAGAGAGATAGAGAGCTAGAAACATCGATGAGAGAGAGTCATCGATCAGCTGCCTCTTTTACACCCCCTACTGGGGATATGCCCACAACCAAGGTACATGCCCTTGACCGGAATCGAACCCAGGACCCTTCAGTCCCCAAGCCGACACTCTATCCATTGAGCCAAACCGGTCTCGTCCCCAACTAACTTCTTATAGCCCACTCCAATCCACATAGCCAATATGTTCTCCCATGTAGTGGGCTCTTTTGTTATTTTTGTTGATGATTTCTTTTGCAGTGCAGAAGCTTTTTATCTTAATACTAGAGGCCAGGTGCATGAAATTCATGCACAGGGTGTGTGGGGGGGGGAGGGTTTGCAACCTCTCCAATCTGGGATCCTTGTGGGATAGGTCCTAAACTGGTAGTTGGACATCCCTCTCACTATCCTGGACTGCTGGCTCCTAACTGCTTACCATTGGCAAATGTGATCACCACCTAACTGCTCCCCTGCCAGCCTGATGGCCCCCAACTGCCCTCCCCTGCAGGTCTGATGGTCCCTAACTGCCCTCCTCTGCTGGACTGATGGCCCCCAACTGCTGCCTGATGACCCCCAAATGCCCTCCCCAGCCCACCTGATCGCCCCTAACTGCCTCTGCCTTGGCCCCACCTCTTTTGCTTTGTCCAGAAGGAAGTCAAACATCCGAAAAATGTCTGGTCACCGGTCTAATTAGCACATTACCCTTCTATTAGTATAGATGGTTACTGAACAGTGCATTCTGGGAAACATGGGGAAGCGGCCTTATGACTCAGAAACCAGGGACTCCACAGGAAGCTGGAAGGTCTGGTCTCAACCAGCAGAGGATGGGCCTGGAATTATGGGCCAAGCCTGGACTGTGTTTAGGTCCAAGGACCCTCCCTCCTTCAGGCACCACTTGCTCAGTGGCCTCCTTTACACAATCTGACCTGGGTTCAAACCCGCAAACTTTCAATGTACAGGACAAAGCTCCAACCAATGGATCCACCCAGCCAGGGCAGTTATTCTTGGCTTTTATTTACTTTTCTACTTTATTTTTTACTTATTTTATTAAATATTGTTGAAAGTTTTATATAGGTCCCCTTTTCCCCCATTAACCTTTTCCAGCCTACAATCCCCCCCTCAGGCCCTCACCACCCATTGTCTGTGTCCAGGGGTGATGCATAAATGTACACAGGCCATTGGTTGATCTTTTCCCACCCACTCACCTTCCCCCACCTTCCCTCTGAGGTTCCACAGTCTGTTCATGCATCTGTGTCTCAGGATCTATTTTTGATCACCAGTGTATTTGGTTCATTAGGTGTTAAAAGTGTTCTACTTGTGATCATTTGGGTTTTCTAAAGATGCAGTCATATCATGTACAATTTCTTTTTCCAAATGTACTTGTGGACTCATTGGGAATATAGATAACAGAAATAAAAGTCTGTGAACAAGTTGGGAATAGGATGCTTTTTCTTTCGTGATGTACATGATCCTGTGCTACTGCCTTGTTGAGAACACCGAGTACTGTGGTTGCAGGGAGGCTCTCATTAGCAACCCATCACATAGAGCCATAGCCTCCCTCTCCATCAGCTGCAGCTCCTAGGACAGACACATGCACCCCTCAGCAGAGGTGGGACACTTGGTCACGCCCCCTAACCCTAGGTGCACTTGAGAAGAATGGATATTCCATAGGTTTAGGATAGAATATTCTAGAGATGTAAATCAGTTCCTTCTGTTCTAGAGTGTCATTTAGGATTGCTGTTTCCTTGTTGATTTTTTTTCTAGAAGATTTACCCAGTGATGTTAGTGGAGTATTAAAGTCCCCTACTATGATTACATTGCTGTCACTCTCTCACATGATATCCTCCAGAATTTTTTAATATATTTAGATGTTCCTATATTAGGTGCATATATGTTTATCAGATTTATATCCTGTTATTTTATTGATCCCTTTAGTATTATAAAGTGGCCTTCTTTATCTCTTTTGTTATTGCTTTTTGTTTTGTTTTATTTATTTGTTTTTTTGAGGTCTGCAATGGTGTCTTTTTAATTTAAATTATTTATTATTGAAAGTATTACATATGTTTCCTTTCCCCCCATTGACTTCTTTCCAGCCACCCTCCATTGCACAAGTCCCCTACTGTCAGTGTCTTTTGGTTATGATTATATGTATGCATACAAGTCCTTCGGTTGATCTCTTACAGCCCACCCCTCCAACCTCCCTTGCCTTCCTGCTATAGTTTGACTATCTAGAAGTTTTCATCTTGTACATTAACTTTACACATTTTTTTTTATTACAAGTGAATGCTTATTATTGTATCTCTTTTTAGTTTTCCTCACAGGAGGAAAAGCAAATTCGGTACTAAAACGCTACCCAAGAGCTAATGGACTTTTTGAAGAAATAAGACAGGGAAACATTGAGCGTGAATGCAAAGAAGAATTTTGCACATTTGAAGAAGCAAGAGAAGCGTTTGAAAATAATGAAAAAACTGTAAGTATGTTGGTACTTTTAAATTTTTTTGACAGATTTGCTTACCTTTTGATATATGTTTGAAATCTGCAGCCCCTAATGGTGTGCATTGCTAGCAATTAAAAGTTACCCTTGTGAAGAACTCTGAAAGTGGCATCTAAATTAAACTATTGTGTGGATAGAGGGCTAGATTCACATCCCTGTATGTTGGCCTGTCTGTGCAGGTCCTGTTTCCATAGGACTCTGCAGAACTGAGATTTGTCATCTTAGCCAGGGGACGCAAGTGTTTGTTTCATAAGAAGTTTCATTCAGGGAAAGTTATAGTTGACATCATCCCTTTACTCTGCCTAATCAGAGAGAAATTGTGGAGGAAGCTAATATATACTGACACTAATTTCAAATGCTTTACTTCTACCAAAGAAAGTACTTTGGTAAAAGCACAACACAGTGGTATAAATTCTATAGAACTGCTTTGAACTTCTAAATTGCATTGCCAGAGGTAGCCTTTATACAAATATGCATTCCTGTGTACCATGAAAATAATACTTGATACTAAACAAGGGATGTCAGATGTGTTAGAGGGACATCAAATTTTATTACAGAAGTAAAATTTTATTGAAGTTTTAAGGATAGGGGATTTTTATCTCGATAGATAGAGAGGAAATCAGGAGTAAAAGCTCAAGGTCTAATAGCTCAAGGTTGTTCCTAAGCATTGTTCTATTACTGAGTCTTTAAACGTTATCTATTTATCATCTATCTATCTACCTATCATCTATTAGGTCTAGTAATAATTAATGTCGTTTTCTAATACTTTTTTAAAAATCGAATTTATTTAAACAATACAACAAAATTTAATCAACAATATAGTTGCCGTTGTTTTCTACTACTTGTGCCCAATGCTCAGGAAGCATTTTAATCCCTCTGTTGTAAAATTCTTGTGATTTTGATGCAAAAAATTCGGTCAATGCATTTTTGAGGCATTCTTCATTATTAAATTTTTTTCCAAGAAGAAAGTTTTGCAAAGAACGAAACAAATGGTAATCGGAAGGGGCAATATCAGGAGAATATGCAGGTTGAGGGAGAACTTCCCATTCTAACTGGCGCAGTTTTTCAGCAGTGATTCTTGCAGTATGCGGTCGTGCGTTATCGTGGTGAAGAATTACGTCCTTCCGATTAATCAGCGCGGGTTCTTTTTCTCTTAAAGCTTGGGCTAACCTTTCCAATTGGGCACTATACACTGCACTTGTAATGGTTTGGTTAGATGGTAAAAGTTCATAATGAAGAATTCCTTTAAAATTCCACCAAACACACAACATCACTTTTTTCGCATGCAAGTCAGGTTTTGGTGTGGGCTGCGGAGCCTCATTTTTGTCCAACCATGGAGGCCGCCTTTTCAAATTAACATACAGCACCCATTTTTCGTCTCCGGTAACAATTTGCTCTAAAAACGGCAAATGGTTTTGACGAGAGAGGAGCGAACTGCAAATTGTGACTCTTTGATTATGGTTGTTGTCGGTCAACTCATGAGGAACCCATTTTCCAAACTTTTGGACTTTGCCAAGTGCACGCAATTGATTGGAAATTGTTTTTTGTGAACAATATAAAGTTGTCGCAAGCTCTTGTTGGATAATTTGAGGATTTTGCACCAAAAGAGCTTGAAGAGCTTCTTGATCAAAATTGGACACACGGCCTCGACCACTCTTGTCATCTAACGAAAAATTTCCCTTGCGAAATTTCTCAAACCAACGCTGGCATTTTCTGGCGCTAACTGCATCTTGACCAAGAGCACTACAGATGTTTTTTGCAGCCTCACTTGCTTTTCTTCCTAATTGGAACTCATAAAGCATGCAGTGCCGAATATGCTCTTCATCCGCCATCTTCTTAGCCCTAGTTTTGCAACAAAAACCAAACCAAACACAAACTTTTTCAAGCAAAACTTGTTAATTGCACTTCACACGTTCTGTAGATACCATGTGTTTGAAGGTTATGTCAATACAAGTCAACGCCAAGCAAGATTTTAAACGAATGTTTAAAAACGACATTACTTATTACTAGACCCAATATTTATCTATCTATCTATCTATCTATCTATCTATCTATCTATCTATCTATCTATCTATCTAATCTATCATCTATCTATCTATATAAAAGACTAAGCAACCAAACAACCAAATGACCTGACCAACCAGAATGAGCAGTGCTATGATGCACAGTGACCATCAGGGGGAAGACGTTCAACACAGGAGCTGCCTTCTGGTGGTCAGTCCACTCCCTCAGTGGGAGCACCACTTAGCTTACCCACATGGTGCACATCAGTCAGTGGCAGCCACTCACTCCCTCAGTAGTCCTGCAGGTCCAATCTTTAGAGAATGGGCCAGGCACCGATGGACCTGCACCACCAGCATGATTCTGACACTACTGCTGGCCTCCTGAAATTGGCCTCAGGCACTGTGGCCTCTTCACCTCCCTAGATGCTCCACAAGGAAGAAACAATATAAAAGTAGCTGCCAGGTGTCTCCTGAAAACCAGCACAAATGTCAGAATCCAAGGCCGTATTTTGTTTTTGTTTTTGTTTTTGTTTAAAGTATTACACATAGTAGTACATATATCCCCCATTGACTTTCCCTCAGCCTCCCTTACCCACTGTCACATGCCCTCATCCTCCAACCCCTGCAGTGTCATGTGTCCATTGGTTGTGCATACATGCATATACATGCACATAAGTCCTTCGGTTGATCTCTTCCCCCCACCCCTCCCCAATTCTCTCCAGCCTTCCTGCTGTAATTTGACAGTATGCTCAATGCTTTGCTGCCTCTGTATTTTTTTGTTCACCAGGTTATAATGTTGTTTATTTTCCATAAATGAGTAATATCATGTGGTAATTTTTCTTTAATTGCCTGGTTATTTTCACTTAGCATAATGCTCTCCAGTTCCATCCATGCTGCTGCAAATGATAAGAATTCCTTCATTTTTAAAGCAGTGTAGTATTGCATGGTGTAGATGTACAACAGTTTTCTAATCCACTCATTGGCTGATGGGCATTTGGGCTGTTTCCAAATCTTAGCTATGATGAATTGTGCTGTTATAAAATAGGGGTGCATATATCCTTTCTGATTGGTGTTTCTAGTTTCTTGGGATATATTCCTAGAAGTGGAATTACTTGGTCAAATGGGAGTTCCATTTTTAGTTTTTTAAGGAAACTCCATACTGTTCACAGTGGCTGCACCAGTCTGCATTCCAACCAGCAGTGCACAAGGGTTCCTTTGTCTCCGCATCCTTGCCAGCATTTTCCATTTGCTGATTTGTTGATGATCGCCACTCTGACAGGTGTGAGATGATACACATTGTCATTTTGATTGGTATTACTCAGATAATTAGTGATTTTGAGCATGTTTGCATGTCTCTTGTCCTTCCTTCTGTCTTCTTTCGAAAAGTATCTATTTGGGTCCATTGCCCATTTGTTTTATTGAATCATTTATCTTTTATTAGGTTATATGAGTCTTGTGTAAATGTTGGAGGAGAAAATATGTTCTCCCATACGATGGTCTTTCTTGTTGTTTTGTTGATGGCTTCTTTTGCTGTGCAAAAACTTTTTATTTTGATGTAGTCTCATTTGTTTATTTTCTCTTTAGCTTCCATTGCCCTAGGAGCGGTATTGGTGAAGACATTTCTTCGGCATATGTCTGAGATTTCTCTGCCTGTGAATGCGTCTAGTATTTTTATGGTTTCCCACCTTATGTTTAAGTCCGTTATCCATTTTGAGTTTATTATATTTTTGTGTATGGTGTAAGTTGGTGGTATAGTTTCATTTTTTTTGCATGTATCTGTCCAATTTTCCCAACATTTATTAAAGAAATTTGTCTTGACTCCATTGTATGTTCATGCCTCCTTTGTCAAATATTAATTTAGCATAGTAGTTTGGCTTGATTTCTGGGTTTTCTATTCTATGCCGTTGGTCTATATGTCTGTTCTTGTGCCAGTACAGGCTGTTTTAAGAACAGTGGCTTTGAAATAGAGATTGATATCTGGTATTGAGATCTCTCCTACTTTCTTCTTCTTTGTCAGGATTGTTGTGGCTATTTTGGGACTTTTTATTCCAGATGAATTTTTGGAGAGTTCTTTCTAGGTCTGTGAATTATGCCATTGGTATTTTAATAGGGAATGCATTGAATATATAGATTGCTTTGGGTAATATGGCATTTTAATGATGTTTATTCTACCAATCCATGAACATGGTATGTTCTTCCATCTGTTTACATCTTCCTCTATTTCTTTTTTCAGTGTCCAGTAGTTTTCCACATATAGGTCTTTTACCTCCTTAGTTAAGTTTATTCCTAGGTATCTTAATTTTTTTTGGTGTGATGGTAAATGGAATTGCCTTTTTAGTCTCTCTGTAAATTCACTATTGGTGTACAGAAATACTGTAGATTTATTGATGTTAATTTTGTATCCTGCTACGTTGCCAAATTGATTTATTAAGTCTAATAGTCTTTGGTAGAATCTTTAGGGTATTCCAGAATTTGTCATTATTCAGTGGGTGCTGGTGTTGTAGATTCTCAGTGTTTTCAGGCTTCCAATAATATCCACTTTCCCCTTCAAGATGTAGCTGTCTCCACATCAGAGCTAGTTGCTCTGGGAGGGATCCCAGCAGCAGTGGAGGTTGCCTCTTCAGGGGAACCCCATCTGGCTATCCCTCACAGTCCTCTGGAGTTATAGCTCTCACTTCACTCAGAAACAAACATTCCCCTGCGACTACACACTTTTTTTCTTCTCTCATTCACACATTATCTTGCAGTCTGCCTTTGCATTGTCAGTCATCTTTCTCTAATTGAATTATAATTGACACTAGGGGCCCAATGCACAAAATTCCCTCAGCCTGGCCTGTGCCCTCTCCCAATCTGGGACTCTGAGGGGGCCTAAAACAGCAGTCAGACATCCCTCTCACAATCTGGAACCCCTTGCTCCTAGCCACCTGCCTGCGTGCTCCTAACCACCTGCCTGTTCACCCCTTATTACCTGCC